AGCCTGCGTTCGGGCAGCGGCCCCGCAGAGCGCCTGGGACCGCGGGTAATAGGCGGGAGAGCCGGGCATCGGAAGGCGTTCCCACACCGGCCAGTCTCCGTCCACCAGGAAGCCGACTTTTCGTACCTCCCCGGGGACCGAAAACCGCCGGTGCCGCCGCACCCGTCGCCGCCGCCGCTTGCTCATGGAGAGCCCGTGCTGCCGCCGCCGCCGCCGCATCTACTAGCACCACCGGCTGTCTCGGCTTCCCCGGGCGTGAGCGCCGGGCTCCGGCACGGCCCCCATAGCACCCGCCGCGGCGGGAGCCACAGCAGCTCCAGCGCCCAGGCCCGATCCGACCGGACCCACGGAGCCAGGACCGCGGGACGCGTAGCTTCTTATTACGGAGGAAGATTCGGCCTGACCTCCGCCCCCCCCGCCCCCCAGCGCCCAGTTCCCAGTCCCTAGCTGCCTGACGGCGCTGCTGCGCACGCGCGAAGACGCCGGGTCCAAACGTGCGTGTGTTGGATGTGTACACAGCATCCAGATTTGCCCAATGGGAACCAGGATCAGGTGCAGGGGGCGGGACTTCGCAGAGAGGGGCGGGGTTCCAGTGTTAGGCAAAGGGCAGGGCTGCCGGAAGTGGGAAGGATTTGCACGGAGGCGGAGCTTTGTTGGCAAACCTGCTTGGCGGTTTTGAGGTTTGTACCATTTTAGGACTTTACTTGATTTTGGTTTGCTTCTAGGTCTGGTGTTTTCAGATTCTTAACTCTAAAAGGGAAAGCTTTGTTTTCTCAGTAAATTATAAATATTCAAACTTTTAAGTATATATTTAGGGAAAGTTGAATTAATGTGTTAAGTGCTATCTGTAGTGTTCAAGGTAATAATTGGCCAATATATTGTAATTTACAGTGAAAATTAATAACATTTAAGGGAATTAGATAGCTTTAGCTCCATTAGAGAGATGAAAAATTGAGTTTTGGAGATAAGAAATTCCTACGCATTGACAGACAGCTAGACATTGAAGCTAGAGCTGCTTAGTGCTAGAGTTGGTGGGCACAACCACTATTCTTCTTCAGTAGATCCTAGTTCTTGTATCCTCCCTTAAACAGTCAAAGCCCACGTGGCTCTGCTCCCAGAGTACACAGGCTATCCTGGAAAACTACCTTCATTCGCAATTAGAAATGGGGATACTGTTGAGATATTCCCCATCTGGCTGTGCGAAAAAAAAAAAAGAAGATTGTCTGGAAAGGGAAACTCAACCTTCAGAGTACACAATGCACAGACCTTAAGGCCAGCCCAGTACATCACTGTGGTCCTCAGTCACAGCTGAGTCTGGCAGAGTCTTGGACACCTTCTTGACTAATTTAATGGTCAGGCAGGGCTATGTCAGGGAGTTTCCTCATGGACCTCTCTCAGGGACTCTGGTGATAGACGGATGGAACTTCTGGGAGAGAAGCTTGTCTCACTCAAGATAAACGTTGCCGGTGGAGTTGGGAAGAAATGGACATCTCTCAGAGCAGAGGAGTAAGAAAGAGGCTATGCCTAAAAAGGAATAATTAATTATTTTGACAAAAATCTACTCTTTTTAGTTTCTTGGTTTTTCTTATTTCTTATGGCATTCCATAGATGAGGAAATTGAGGCGGTGAGGCATTAAATAAGGAGAGTCTCTTGGAAGTCACATACAGAAAGTTGGCTCTCAGTATTAAAACTATCCTGCATGGAGAAAGCCCTTTAACGTTTTATAAAGTGTGGATTATGTTTATTTGACAATCTCGTACAAGACACAGAATTCTTTTTATACTGATTGGCTCATTCTCTTCCCGAAAACAGATCCAGTAGTGGTGGTTTTCACCATTTCTGGAGATTATCAGGGAGATGGATCATTAAACTCTGCTGAAGCTTGGCTGGGCAGGGGAAGCATGGATTCCTTGCATATTTGGATAATTCACAAACCTCACTGAGACCTTTAACCAAGATTTCCATTCAGCATCCTTTCTGCTTCTTTCAAAATCTGACTGCTGAGTTACAGGGTTTCTTTTAGACAACTTTATTGAGATAGAATTGACATATAATACATGGAGCATATTTAAAGAGTATAATTTGATAAGTTTTTATATATGTATATCCCCTTGAAACCATTACTATTATCAAGTGAATATATCCATCATCTTCAAGTTTCCTCACACCCCTTTGTAATTTCTTCCTCTTACTACCCCCTGCTTCCCACACCTAAGCAACCACTGATCTACTTTCTGTTGTTACAGTTTCATTTGCCTTTTTGTAAAGTTTTGCATAAATAGAATCAGGCAGTATGTATTATTTTTTCCTGGTCTGGTGTCTTTTACTCAATTTGACATTCATCCATGTTGTTTTGGGTACTAGTTTTTCATTCCTTTTTATTGCTGCGTGTATTCCATTATATGGATGTACTGCAGTTTATTTATCATCTGTTGATTGACATTTGGGTTGTGTCTAGTTTGGGGCTATTACTAGTAAAGTTGCTACAAACATTTGTGTACAAGTCTTTGTATGGATATATATTTCTTTTTTCTCTTTGGATAAAAATCTAGAAGTGGAATGGTTGGATCATAGGTATATGTTTGTTTAACTTTTTAAGACAGTGCTAAAGTATTTTCCAGCATGGTTGTACCATTTTATATTCCCATCAGGAGTGTATTCGAGTTCCATTTCCTCCATATCCTCACCAACACTTGGTAGCCGTTTTTAATTTTAACCATTCTAGTAAGTGTGGTGATATCTTGTAGTTTTAATTTATATTTTCCCATGACTAATGATGTTGAGCACCTTTTAAGTGCTCATTTGCCATCTGTATATCTTTCTTTGGTGAAGTGTCTGTTCAGACCTTTATTATATTTTTAAAAGTATTGAGTTGTTTGTTTTCTTAAATTTTGAGAGTTCTCTATATATTCTGGTTGAAAGTTCTTCATCAGATACATGCTTTGCAAAGATTTTCTCCCAGTGTGTGGCTTGTCTTTTCATTCTCTTTACACTGTATTTTTAAGGGCAGAAGTTTTAAATTTTAATAAAGTCCAATTTATTATTTTATGAATTGTCCTTTTAGTGCTATTTCTAAGAAATCTTTGCCTACCCTAAACTCAAAAAGACCTTTTCTTATGTTTTCTTCTAAAAGTTTTACAGTTTAGACTGTATATTTAGGTGTATGATTCATTGTGAGTTAATTTTTATTTATGGTTTGAGGTGCTTTTGTTCATATTTATTACATATGGGTACCCAATTATTCCAGCAATATTTGTTGACATTTTCCACTTTTTTCTTTTTCCACTGTGTCACCTTTGTACTTTTGACAAAAATCAGTTGTCCAATATCATTTTATAAACATTTTATTTAATATTTGTTCATCATCAGCTACTTGTTACAATGAGCTAGCACTGAAGATATATATGGAAGTATTCTTTGTCTGCAAAGACTAAAGATCAACTATTGCTAACTTAAAATAAGAAATTTATTGGAAGAATTTGAGGTATAATAAAATTTTTTAAAAAGCTGAACAATAATCAGGTCTCAGCTATCTTGATTCATCCAAAGGGAGGCAGATCCCCAAAGGACAATGAGACTATATTAGAGAGGAAAAGAGAAAGATGCTGGGCAGATACCTCCTAGAGCAGTGCTGTAAAGCAGAAATGAAACTCTGACTTCTGAGGCTAGGTTATAGAAGACCATGACATTTCTGTCTCATTTACTTGGACACTTGATTTTAGAGTCCTGAGCCACCATGTGAGGAGACCATCATGCTGGAGAGGCCACATTCTGGTCAACAGAGCCAGCTAAGCCCAACAGTCTAGTTATCCCTGCCATGGTGCCAGATATTTGCGTGAAGCTGTCTTGACCCCTCCAAGCCTTCCATGCACTAGGTGAATACACTGAGTAACTTCCTTAGATGCCACAAGGAATAGAATGAGCACCTAGCTAAAACCTGCTCAAATTCTTGATTTTCTTGATTGTGAGAGATAACAAAATCATTGTTTTATGCATGTATTTTTGGCGAGTTACTCAGTGTTTTGTAAGTAGAACAAAATTTGGGGTGCTTTTGTAGCAAAAACCTAAAACATGTGGCATTGGCTTTCGGATAGGATGTCAGACAGAAGTTGAAAGGGTTTTGAGAAGACTGTTAGTGGAATCCTGACAGGCATCGAGGAGGGTATCAATAAAGATTTAAGGAAAGTAAGAAAAATGTTATTGGAAGCTAGAAGAAAGGGGACTCTTTTTTGTTTT